GCAGCCACGCCACCGCCACGGCGCGGCTCCCGCTGTGTCTGGAGCTCCGGCGGCTCTGCTGCCCGCGCACTCTGCGCCTCCCACTCCTTCCCCTCCTCCCCTCCTCCCCCCCTGCCTCCCCTCTCTGGCTCTTCTCCCTCCCCGCCCTGGATGCGCGCAGCCTCGCCAGCGAGCTTCTACCGGTGTGAGTTGCACACAGTACACACCACACACACACACACACACACACACGCAGGGAAGTAATCAGCAGACTGCCTTGGTGAGTGTTGCCTAGCGGTCTCTGGGAAAGATGCGTCTTCCTCCTCCCTGGATAATTAGGGCCAAGGAGCCTCCTGGTGATGCCAGCGAGGACCACGGTTGCCCATAGGCAGATGGAAAAATCAACCTCAGCTCAGCCCTCAGCGCCTATGGAAGCAGGTCCCTGAGGGTTTCGGGTTGATCTCCTCTCCGGCTGCCCCTCATGGGTTTGTGGCATCCCTAACCTTGGCTTCACATAGCTGAGCATTCGCAGGCTTGGCAGGTCGTGGCTAGTTTCTTAAACACCCATATGGCTCTGGCTACATTGACCCTTTCTGTTCTTCCCCCTGCTTTCTTTTCTTTCTTTTTTTTTTTTTTGAAGGGGGAGGGAGAGCTAGAATCGGGGTAATTATTTCCCATGCGCTTCACAAGCAAATTGTCGAATATCTAATTATAGAGGTGATAGGACGGTCTGAGATTTCAGAGAGTCAAAAGAATGTATTTGGTATGGAGATTTCTTCCCGGTGCCAGGTACTCTAAAGATGTCATGATTTAATTTTTATTTAATTTCGTGAAGAGAATGTGTTAGTATTTTAAAATTATAGGATGTGTAAACCCCTGTCATTAATTTCCGTGAAACTAGCATGGGTCAAATAATTTCAGAGTTTTACTTTTTTTTTCTAAGTATTTTAATTGCCTGTATTCTAGTACATCGAGGGAAATTGCAAATAACTAGGAGAAAACTGTTAAGATGGTTTAATTTCTGTACCTGAGTTCTATTAAACCTCTTTATAATATTTTTTCCAACTTACTCATTTGTTTCATAGAGATCCATCAGAAGGCCAACATGGGTACACTGGCATTTGAAAAAAGACTTCAAACAAAAGGACTATAAAACCAAGAGTGAGATTAAAATGATATGCCATATCTCATTTAATACAGGACAAGTAGCCACTGTAGAAACACTGCTTGTATTCATGGGAAAGCTTGTATTCATGTCTCTAGACATATGCCAGTCTTTGCACAATGTTTAGTTAATGCCATTTGCTTTTAAAACTATTTACAATAAAGACAAAGGAATAAAACGGTGCTGATGAAGTTTTGTGAAGAGGTGGGAAATCGTCTTTGATCTTATTTTCTGAAATGTTTTGGCACTACAAGTCTGAAATCAGCTTCATTATATTATAATGTGCTTCAAATACAGGAAGCAAATGCAGAGGGATCTCGGGGAAACTGTCTTGTAGCTTGGCAGACAGTCTCACAGGGAGCCGGAAAGTTGAAATTTATGTTTCTATTGGAAGAACACTCAAGAAATAAGCCTCTCCCACACCCATTTATAGCTGAGTTACTTAAGCATTTCTAAACAGAATACCAAATACAATATCTAAAGTCAAGGGACACATAACAAAGTAGCTAATAGAAGAGGCAGTTTAATGGGGCTCTGAGCTAGGTACTTTCTTTCTATAGGCCTCAGAAACTCACTTAACAACAACAGAATTTATATGTGGTCTTCCAGCTTCCCTTTCTTCCCCGTGTTCTGCATTTTTGTGTTACTACCCTTCTCTGTTCACCAGTCACTAGCTATTTACTATGAATACACAATATAACTGAATTTCTTTAATGACTTCTGCAATACAAGCTTTATATAAACTTTGTATTTTATTTTTCTCTATAATTTGAAACTTTTTATTTTCTCTAAATTGCCCAACATCTCCTTGATTTTTATAGATACTATTATTCCATTCTATAGAAATTCCACCCTCAAAAATAGTTAATACCAGCCCCCCCACAAATATACAACTTTCATCTGAACTTTCCCCAGTATTCAAGTAGAGTCAGTCATAAAAGCCAGATTTCTGTCTTCCTCACAAAAAATGAGTTGCTTCTTGTTTTGTATATATTCATGGTCTATGATTAACTATGACTAACCAAAAGTGTCAATGTGGTTAGAAATAATTATCAATATAGTTAGAAATAATTAGCTACCTGGGAACTGGTGGTTCATGTCTATAATCATAGCTGCTAAGAAAGCTGAGACCTGAGGATCAAGGATCATGGTTCAAAGCCAGACTGAGCACAATTCATGAGACCTTTACCATCAATAACCACCCAAAACCCAGAAATGTAGCTGTGGCTCAAGTGTTAGAACACTTGTCTTGAGAAAAAAAAATGTAAGAGACAATGCCTAGGCCCTGAGTTCAAGACCTAGGGCACATACATACATACATATACATACATATGTGTGTATATATACATATGTATATATAATTTACTAACAGTATATATGTTATATAAAGTGGCAAGTAGATGATGGAAACCAGTAATGCCAAGGAAACGGCACAGTTTTCACTATGGTCATAATTGTGTGATCTCTACCTAAGATTACTAATTTAAATAATTAATACACAATACAAGATCTTTCCTAGACCTCATATAAGTCTCTACCCTTCTTAGTTTAATATAACTTTAGAGAAAGTCACACTTGTTAAATGAATTGCAATGGCCCACAATCAAGGTTACTTTGCTGGTAAGGAACAATTGGTCACAGAATGCAATGTTGGTGGTTTGACTTGGGCCTCACTTTCAAAGTAGATCTTATATTTGCCCAAATGTCTTTATGTTGGCCTGTAGCTATGAAACATACTTGCATGACCATAACATTGCATGAAAATAGACTTTCTCTTTCACACTGCTTTGCACACAGATATTGGCTTGGAGTCCTCATTGTTCACATTTCTCATTGCGAACAATGTCTCAAAAGGTGGAAGTAACTGATACTGTCCTGGATCTCCGCTTGCATATGGCTTCAATACTGTATTTTCTTGGACAAAGGTTATTCAGAATATTATTGATAAGGTACCTTGAAAGACAACTATCCTTATAAATTGCTTCAGTAATATAGTATCAATACGCTAGATAGTCCTACATTCAAATTAGAACAGCAAAAACAATCTTAATAGAAAGTATTGTTAGTACTTACTGAGGGTTTGTGATGTTTTTACATCACATATGCTGCCACCATGGTAGGGATGTAACTATTACCCCTGTGACAATGATGAGAAAAGTGAGAAAATGAGGTCAAGTGGTGTGGCTGGTAAGACATAATCATTTTAACCTGTGGTACTAATTTTATTTATGAAAGTCCTAATGTAAAAAATGTAAATAATACATTTGACAACCAATTAGCCAACAAGATAAAAATTATCCCCAAAGATCTCCAGTAATGAGAACAATTAATTGGTAAATATATTTCTATCATTTCTATATCATTTAAATCCAAAAGTAATTGAACAAATATTATAATCAATTTAGATAAAGAGACGAACCATTACAATTAAGCATTACTTAGAGAAAAAGACTGATTTACACAAAAGCATGAGCATTTTTTATTTTTTTGTGTAATGGTTAGAATGGACCAAAAGAAAAATAATATGGTTATAGTCAGATAATATGAACAAAATTCTAATCAGGTAATAATAAAAGTCAGATAATACTAAAGTCAGATAATATTAACAAAATACAAAAGTACATGGTCAGGTGATAGTAATAAAAGTAGAAGTCACTGAACACACATATAAACATGATAGAAAAACAATACCAAGAATCTTCACAGCCTTGTTTAAAATGTTCTTGTCACATTGCTACAAACTCTTTGGAAACTTAGTGGAAAACAGAAACAAAATGAATGGGGGAATGGGAAACCAACCCTGTTGGAACTATAAATTGTATTATTGAACAGAGTTTTATCAGTCTATGACATGCTGAGATGAGCAGATATAATTTTCTGGTACTTTAAGAGATATAATGTGTTGTGCTGGGAAGGTGGCTCAGTGGTAGAGCGCTTGCCTTGCATGCCTGAGGCCCTGGGTTCGATTCCCCAGCACCACATAAGCAAAAAGAAAAAAGCCGGAAGTGGCACTGTGGCTCAAGTG